ATAAACATTTGCAGCATTATTAGCTTTCAAGAATCTTTTTTAAACATTTAGTAAAATTTAGTAAAAATTGGTTTGTTTCACGGCTTTTTTATGTAAAAAAACACTGAAATGTGTGGCGTACGGGCCGTTGTAAAGATGGGCCACGACAACTTTAACTGTCTCAAATTCCACGTGCCGAGACTATCACGGCACTTCACCAAGAGAGTTCTTCCTAGCGCGATATACACCGCTAACTCAATAACCTCCTTATTCCCTTCGACCTCATTTCCGCGCCCGTCGAACATTATATCAACTCTGGCACGTCTCTTAAAGCAGATGGTCTAACAGAAAAGGCGTCGAGAAAAGTGGATTGATAACGCGAGGACGTTATGAAAGTCTAACGCAAAGTTAGAGATATCTACGCCAAAAATATTTCCATAAAACCTATCGCTAAAGATTCCGTCTTTGTGCAACAACAGGAAACGTAATAATAAAATAATCACATATGCATATATATATAGAGAGATATTTGTGAATATTAATTATTCTTAACACAACCGTAATTGGCAAGTGAATTTTTAGATATGTTATTTACGTTCTAATATATTCAGTAATAAAATTCAAACGATATATAGCAGAATAATTAATGTCACAAATATTTTGACATCTCATATTTGCAAATAGAAACTGAAAGTTTACTTGTGAATGTATAGCCGAACAATATTCCCGAGAAACAATGAAGAATCACTCATATATCCTTGCATAATCGAAATCGCACATATCGCTTAAGATATTCCATCCCTTTGCTTGCCGTGCGACACCTGTCAATATCGCGGTGCATTAAAATTCACCGGTGCGTGCTTTTCGATTTAGTCGCATTCTCGAGATTATTCGCCTCCGTTAGTCGAGCAAAACTCAAGAGAGAGAGACAGAGCGTGAATTCGCGTATCCGGATATTTTGCATTCCACGGCAAATATGCGCGGCAATATGAAAAATACATAATTCTTCGACAAAAGTGCCAATAATACGTGCATCATGTTCTCCGGCCGACGATATTTCACGCCGGACCAGACGATCGGAGACGAAGCCGCGGCCGTTGTTGTATATATATATATATGTGTGTGTGTGTGTGTGTGCATCAGGATCGTCGCACGCGAACCATTTTATTTTGCAATATAATGCTTGACTCCTCGTCGTCCGGCGCGGCTTGACATATTGGACGTGATAGGGAGTAATCTGTTATACCGCGCTGTGTCCACGATGGAAGCCTGTAGGCGGTATCCCACTCTCCTCGGTGCATCTACGGGGTGGTTGCAACGACCGATATATATTTCCCGTACATGCACTTCCATACGATTCGTAGGGGAAAATATAGTGGTTGGTGCGCGCGCGAACGTGAATGCGTGAGAGGCGCCGGATCGACAATAAATCAGGCAGCAACGTAAATAAAATCTTATGGAAACGTCCCGGGAGAAACGTCTCTCTTTCATCCTTTTTTCCGGGATCAATTTGAGATTGTCCACGTGGCGCAGGTTGCTTTCAAGAACCACCCGACTACATTATTGACTTGGTACGGTAACAATGGGAACGATGCATATATGATAGCAAATGCGATACTCTCTCCCGCGTGCGGATAAATGTGTAAACATTATTTGCGGGGAATACTTTTGTCGATATTGTACAAACAGCTGATACAGATATTGTGTAAGATACATTTTGCGCATCACTTGCTATTTTATTTATGTGATATGATATATATAACATATATATGTATTCTCGCGTATATATCCTACGATTTCTTCTTGTCGTAAAATTTTATTCGACTTGAAGCGATTCTCCAAAGCTGAAATTGTCACGTTAACATATGATAAATTGTCTAACTTTATGAATCATATTTAAATGTATGTTTTTTTTTTAATATAATGTTATGATCTTTTATTTCCTGTAATATACACGTATCTCTGTATAATTTAGCACAACTTTATTTTTGAAAAGAAAATAAAAAATGTCAAAGATTGTGATTGAATTAAAGATCGATTCGGATGTAACTTTTTCTCGTAGAATTTATTTATATAATTATATACGCGCGCGTCACAACTTGAAAGTCGAAAACGAAAGAGATTCTAGTCGATTTTTGACGATTAATCGCGCGCGAGTTACGTCTGGAACTCGAAAGGCATTTCGGATAATCCCGGATGGCGGTGCGCAATATCCCGACGAACGCATCGGTGCATCCCGATGGCGCATGTCTATCGAAAAACCAAAGAGATCTCTCGGCTGTAGTTTCGCTTGGCTGGGGCCACGATCATGGATGGCACTCGAGACACACCCGGGGGATTTTGGGACGAAAAGTTCCGTTAGAAACTCCCGGCTCTCTCCCGCTTATCCAGAAGCCTTCAACTCCTCGCTTCTCGTCACTTCTCGTTCGTACAGCGAAGAGGAGCCGCGGAGGAGATATATGCATATATAGTTTTCTCTCACGAACGGCGCCGGTCGAGAAAGCTATCGCGCGAAAATATAGACCGTGAAATTTCTAAACTGGGATTTAAAGTTTCGCGCGACCAATTTCTAGCGCGCCGTTTAACCCTCTCCCCCACGTATGTAGGTAATTACCGAGATAACGAGCTTTGTGTAAAAACGGTCAGAATTCTCGCTGCGGCAAAAGAGATTAAGCGCGAGCGGTTTACTCTCTGTAAAAGCGGTATAAATCAAATTTACGAAATATAACGAGTTTAAGCGAGATACGGGCGGCGATTTAAGATGGATATTTATAGGGTGTACTTTTAAACGAGATTTTTCAATGGCTGATTTATTCTACTCGCGCAAATCGAATCGGAACGGTTCGAATTCAATCCGAAAATTGAATATCTAAATAGTCATCGAAAAATACGTTCACGCGTACAAACTGTTCTATTTGTCGTATTAAAAGCAGAAGCTTCTAATCGGGGTGTATAACGTATGATTAATTATCGACACATATCGAGCTGCTTAACCTGATTAATCGCAAACTCCCTCCGGCACTAAGAGCTATTAGCGATGCTCTATTGATTCCTCGAATGCGTTTTCAATGTAAATTATTTGCCAATTTAATAATGCATCATCCCGCGATCGCCCCTTGCTTTACATTCTAATCGCAGTCGCCGGGAGGAGATCAACGTGGAAGATTCGCAAGTATTGTCTGTGTAAAATACACTTTGCAGCGCACTTCCAAACTGATTCCGCGATAAAATGTTATATATGTACGCTTCTGAATAGCGTTAACGTCGTACACGGGGGCGTTAATGTTATGATATTACGATAGCGAGGAACAGTCTTTTCGTGCATCCGGTATGTAAATGAATGTAGAGAGGTAGATATGCAAATTGTACCGACGAGTAGTGACACCGATGTATTCTACGGCCAACATATTTTCCAAGTACGCGGTTTGCATAGATGACATTTCGGTTCGGTCGGCTTTCAAATGAAAATAGATGACACATATATACGAGACTTTTATCGAGTCCGCAACGCGAGACAAGCTAATGACACTTCTGATAAATACGAATAATTCATTATAATTTATATATTGATTAATCGGTACTTCATGCATAAATCTCAACATGTTCGAATCATCTTGATTGACAGCCTTATAAAAATTTTATAAACCTGGTTTTCGCAAATAAATTTTATGTCGGATTAATTTATAATTACGAAAAGTATCCAAGTATTCAATCCAAAAATATAGATGTTAATTTAGATTTTATCATTGTTATTTATATATTCAATATTCCGCATATTAACTCCTGATCAGGAGTTAATATGGAATGTGTGTGTGACAAACAATGTCGGTATGCTCCGAAAATTTCTACGTCTGCGATATTTTAGTCATAGAATTATAGATTTCTGAAGATGTCGTTATATACATATATTGAAATGCGGATAGCAAAAATGGAACGATCAATAAGGAATATTGGTGATTCTCAATGGAGGAAAAACGGGGAGGAAGTCTCCGATCAGAAATTTAAATCGAAGCGAGGAAAGCGGAAACATTTCTGTCGCACGAAAATTTGCAATAAAGAAGATACTGTTTTGAAAAATGACAGAAGAAGCTTGCGAGAGTTTCCTTGACTTAAAGTGGATGGAGCGAAAATGAATGTAGAAGCGAGAATGTTAAACGGTCGAAATGACATTTCCATAGCGAGTCACCCACATTTCTCTTTCTCTCTCTACGCGAAGAAGAATGATTGCAGTCTCAGGTGGATCATCCAATATATACAGAATGCTCGCAAAATAGCCTTACCGTGTTTTATTCGGATTTCCTAGTGGTTCTTTTTAATAGAACCAAAATCCTTCAAGTGTAAACACACAATTGTTTTATGTTAAATTTAACAGATATCGCATGTTCCAAACAGTCGACAGAAACTTTTGTGGTAATTTAACATAATATGGATTTGTTAAATAAAAACACAAATACTGTGTTAATAGTTTAATACAAAATAAATGTAAAATTTCAAGTAATTTAAAATAAATTTTGTGTAAAATTAATATAGTTTTAATGCAAAAATTAACTAAAACTATGTTAATTTTATTATTCCCACTTATATTATAAAATAAAAAAATCAACATATTTTCCTGTAAATTTTAACAGATAAATCTTGCCACTAATAAAACAGAACTTATTTATTATGTAAAATAAAAAATAAATGCATGTACACTGTGTTATTTTTTTACATCTTTTTTCAGTTGTTTTAATAATTTAACATTTTTGTGTTAAATATTTACACAAATTTTCCTATTGTGTGCAGCTTTAAAGTTCAACTCGCCAGAGAACATCTAAATTTTCACATACTTACGTTTTATCGAAAGACTATTGATGACTCGAGGAAATCTCTTAGGAAATAATCACTATATTAATTTAAAATACCGTTTCATAAGTAAATGATATCGGAGATACCCCGTATACACATAAATTCGGCCGCGTGGAAGCTTCGTGCATATAACTTGCGCCGAGAATAACACGCGAAATGCATTTCTGTTTCAGGAAGCGCATACATCATCAGATGGAGTGCGCCGCAGTTGATGGTCGTGGCGGTGCAGTACATTCTCACGGGGCCCTACATGCCTCCCTACGTACCCCAGACGGCAAATTAAGACGGCAGTCGCGGAAAAAGAAGTATCGTCGCGCCGTTCAACTCAAGGTGGGGATCGTGTGGACGACACGACGAGAGAGGGAATCCGAGAGAAATTTTCTCGGTCCCTCTTAGAATATATATATATCGTCGCGTATCTTTTGTACGAAATACGCTTTTTGCGGAGCTTTCCGCGACGAATAGGCAGAATTGTGCGGAGTTATACGAGTGGACAGGAAGTCGTGCTCGCGGACGGATAACTGGTTTACGATCGACAGACACCGATATATTCCGGTTCCCGGAATGGACTCCGATTTCGCTTTATGTACTGCACGCCGAATAGTTCGATCATCGGATTGGGAGATTTATGCACATGACGACAGCAAGGTATTACGCAATTTTATTCTTATTAAATGGTCCTCGCGCAGAGGATAATACGGTGAAATTCCTGGCTGTGCTCTCGATAGGTTTCGTTCTCGTTATGGACGTCGCGAATAATTCTCTATGAAATTTCTCGCGCGCAAGATCGATTGATTAGCGTGCGCTCCGCTTTGGTCAGCGTCTCTCAAAGGTTCAAAATTTAAACGGGTAGTTAGAGAGAGCGATTGATATGTGGCGGATGAGTCGTGATATTAATAAATCCTAAATATTAATATCACTGCATGTCAAATATATTTGAATATATGCAAGACGATTTTAAACTAAAATATATTCGGATTAATTATCGGGACAAATTATATATATATAAATAAATAATATATATATATTATATATATATATATAAATAAATTATATATATATATATATAAAATCCGAATTATAAATTCCATTACATATCGTATCTAATTTTTCATGATAGTTTTTGCAATTCTACGAGATAATTTTTTCAAAATGACCTACATAATATTGTGTACATGTGTCACAAAATGTATACGACGAAAATTATTAAAAATTATTTGTTTTAATGAAAATTAACTAGAGAAAATATTGCTTTGATGCAAGTCTGTAATCAAGGATCGTTGTTCCGTAACATAAAAAAAGTTCCAACAAAAGAATTATGCGTTTTCTTGATGTATAAACAGACACGCCTTGAGAGTAACACAACAATGAGGAAATATCTAGAGATCTCTCCAGAGAGCGAGGGAAATTTGATTAATGCCACGGCACGTAAAAAATAGCGAGGAAGGGGTCATGACTCTTTGAAATAGCAAGCGAGATGATGACGTCGAGAGTCATCGAGACTTTTTCGCGAAAAATATAAGAATATGTCGCGGAATAAGTTGTAAACTTTTCAAAGAAGAGCAATAAAAATTCCAATAAAAAATTGTGAATGAATTATGAAATAAACTGTCTCGTTAAAATTGAAATCGAGCCAGAGACGTTGTATACACGTGAGTAGATATATATCACATGTATATGTAATACATACGTAATGCATTTTATAGGAACAAATTTTTTCGTATAATAATATAAAAGAAAATAGGATGATTGCTTTTGTATAAATTTTATCACGCGCAAGTTGTCAGTTCACTATGGACCAAAATGAAATTTATCGCAGATCAGGACACACATTATTGTCCAATAAAATTTATATCAACTTTGAACGTCCGGATCTATCGTGTACGATATATATTATTGCCTCGTGAAAATTTACGAATATTCATTAAATCTACCCCCTGTTCAAAGTTTTATATGTATGTATATATATTTCGCAGAGCTAAAACACTGCTGGCGATTTTTAATTATCACGTACACGTCGGGACATTATTATTCGCTAATTAAACGTTCCATAAAATTCTTCCACTTTGCGTACCTCGATACCTGCACTGCCTTCCACTGCCACCATTAAATAGCATGCAGAACTGATTCGATTAAAGTTATAGCATAGAATAACCATTCTTCCGTTTATAGATTCAAAGAAAAGCTGAGAGATTACAACTCACGCTTTATATACGACTCCTTTTGATTACCTGAAAATTATGATTCTCATCTGGGTGCCATAATTGCGTGCGTTCGTTAACGAAATAGTCTCGCTCAGTTATTGCTGGAAGAGAATCGTTTTACACAATTACAGAAGCGCACGATTTCTATCGCAAGTACAATAGATCAGAACTGAATTAATATACACGAGCGTGAAATTAAATTACTTTATACATAAAGGAACGCGCGCGCATATATCGAGAGCAGCAACATTTCTCTCTAGCCGGAAGTCTCCGCGCGGTGGTTAATTACCTCCGTTCTTCTCATTTATTACGCTTTATACGTGCCATTATACATATCAAAACCTCAGCGTTTTACCAGTGTTTTATGCTAATTGCCATTCTAGTTATCGACCATTATATTAATAACTCTAAAAACAAAAAATCAGTCAAAATTTTAAATATTTAATACATTTTAATTACAAATGCTTTTTCTTTTAATTAAACATATATAATAAGCTTTTTCAGTTCGACAAAATTATGTTTGAGAAGCAGTTGTAAATTACCATATTTTCTGCGCAGCGAGAAACATTATTAATTACATTCATATTTGCATCATATGATTTGTTTTAAAATGATATTAGAAACTTTGATTCGAAGTATTAATATACGGCCAAGAAGTCTCGCGACAAAATTTGCGTTTGCGCAGAAAATGAAAATGTTGAATTGTACATCTTACAAATTAAGAAAAGCGAAATGAATCGCGAAGCTACACTTTGATTTTGATAAAATCCTTTTTGACACTTGATATAATGCACAGAGTGAAAAGTTTTTTTTACTATTAAATATATGAGTGGTCTATATTCTTATCTCATTTCTTTGAAAAATAATATTAGCAATACGAAGAGTCTCTCTCTCTCTCTCTCTTCTTTCTCGCACACAGATGGACCATCGATCTGGTTGAAAAAAACGGATGATGACTGCAGAGGGTGCATTCCGATCTTTTTCTCTCTCTCGCGCGCGAATAACAGCTCCGTTTTCGGTAACCCGACGCGCCGGAATTTGTTTCAGAGGGATTACCGATCTCTGGACATATCAAAAGGATACACCTTGACCGTTCCGTTTCTATCTCGATTCGCTTCCGGAAATGCATGCGCCCGGGGAAGCTCCCGAAGCGACGATCGTGCATATATAGCGCGCGCGCGCCTCGAAATATACATATACATATAATCTCGGGCCGATATAATTGTACAGAGAGCGCTTCGGAGGTATCATTCCGTAATCTATGTAGTCCCCGGTCGGATGGGGGATTATGTTAAGCGATGCGTGAGCGCGGCCACAGTCCACGGCAATCCAGGCGTAACAGAGATACTGCTCGGTGACGTCGTTACACTCGCGCACACGCGTTTATATATGCGACTCGCGATTATGTATCGTACATACGTATCGTATATACGCCCGATGTATATTTGTGTATATCGGGCACGATATGCGCGCGCGATGCATCACCGCGATCGCGGCTACAAAAGGATGCACCCAGGGGCGGATTCGTATATATACAGATGTAACTCGGATTTCGCTTGTCCGGCTATTTGTTTTCTTGTTGAAGAATTTGGATCGCAAAACTTGTCGATCGATATCTTCACATTTATGGTATAACTCATCTTTCTAAATTTTATTATTATATATTCAATATCTTAGCAACGCGCAAGATAAAACTACGTCTGAAATAAAATCAAATTGGAAGTAAAGGATAAATATTGTTACCCGTTATTTATTCGCGAAAAGTTTTTCATTTTCGATGATTCATATGGAAAAGACTACTGATATCTCGATATCACTGATAGAAAGAAAAATTATACTATTGTGATAGTCATATAAAATATCAGAAACATGTAGAACAGCGCGAGAGAAATAGCCTTTAAAAATATATTTGAAGTTTCAAAATTATATTAACTTGAGATTCCGAAAAGTGTGCAATCGCATTCGTCCCTGAATGCATAGGCAAAGTTAATCGCGAGCGCACGCCGCGATATTGCGATTAATAAGCAGAAAATGCGGCGGTTTACCGATATGCGCTGCCACCGCGATTGACGCAACAATAGCACACATCATATATGAATATGACGCGTTTTTCGAGCGGTATATTACAGTTCGCGGGATGATAATTCCCGGCCGCGGATGCACAGACCGCGCGAACCCGAGGTCGGATGCCGTTAAATATAGAACGTCGACATTTTTTTTGCGGTGAATATATCGCAATAGGAACGGTGCATTTCGTATTATTGAGTTACGTACCTGCGTATATTCGGTCATATCTCGCGCGAGTTTTATTAATTATTTTATCTCGCGTTAAGAATCGACTGCCGTTAAAACGTGATAATTTGATGCGTGTAATCGTATCTTTCATTACTACATCGTATATTATCTCCCTCTCTCATCTTTATTTCAATAAATTCTTCCTATTATTATACAATAAAAATATTAAAATTATATCCTTTGTGTTTTATAATAATTAGTTTGTAATGCTTAATGTTATTTAGAAGAATATTCGCATAATAATAAATGCAATGTGTGATTTTATTAGTTTAATATCGTTATAAAGAAAATTATATGATATAATATTGATAAAGAATGTGATATCAATAAAACAATTATCGATTTAAAAATAAAAATTACCTATTTTTATTTAAACTTTCATTTATAGACAGAAAAGCGCCATTACAGATATAATATTTCTACAGCTAAACTTCAATATTTCTCTTGACTTATCTTGACGAATCTAAATATTTTTATTCTCATATTTCTTTAAATCAAATGTTTCGAAAAATATGTAAAATCGGAATATAAATTGACTTCTCTCCCTCTCACATCAAAATTATGTATTATAATAAAAGATACTTCTCTAACTGAAGGTTTATAGAAGCAATCTAAATACAGCTGAATAATTCTATTATATCTGTCTTCATTATATATAGATTATTTTTTATTACAGAAAATTTAATCATAATTTTTTAAAATATTAGATTCACATGCTTCAACAAAACTTTTTTAGTTTTTTAATAAATATTATTAAACTTTTAAATCGTGTATATATATATATATATATATATATATATATATGCGTGTGTGTATGTGTATATGTAAAATATGTATATAAATATTCGATATTGATAATAGTTTAAATCAATATCTTGTTTAATAGAAAAGCAACGTCTTTAAGGCTATCTTACATTCGCGTTATGGAAGGAATTTATTCGAATTTAAAACGAGGTATATTTTACGAGGCCGTTAAGTATTAAACTGGAAAGCTTGATACGCCCTCCGTTTCTACGAGAATTTATGTTCGTATTCATTATTGCAACAGTAAAAAGATGTTCCTTTAAAAGCTATGCTCGTTTAAGAAAAGGCAGCAATAAAATTGCGGGTCTGCGCAATTATTTTCTAAAAATTGCTGCGTACACGAATTTTACTTTAAAGCTTGTTGTGTTCAATGAAAAATGCAAGAGATTCCATGTCTCACATTAAAAAAATATAAGAAGCAATTTATGCATTCAAATATTTTTGTGTATATATATTATATCTAATTACGTAATTTTAATTATACTTTTAAATTATTCTTTAATCAAAGCGTATATTTATTTATAATAAAAATCAATTCAAAACTATTATAAGTCATAACTTTTGAGATATTACGATCTTAATATTTAATTAAGATTTTAAGATTTAACATTAAACATTTAGATAATCAGATTTCTTATTAAATTTCATCAAAAAATAAAATTCTCTTCATATGGAGAATA